TGCCTTGGGCAAGCCCACTGTAGCTGTTCAAAGCCCGCCCAGAAAAGGGTGTTTGTTTTCTTGGAGTTGTGCACATGTGATTCAGAAAATAGCTCCCCTGGTTTGCATAGGGTGGGGATGCCAGTCGTATGTGAACATTGATGGCCCCGGTTTTCAGTTGAGTGCCTAGCACCCACCGGCAGCAGTTGGACATAAGTGGCACTGACTAAACCGGGGAAAGGTACCTTGTCATTTCAGTTCCCCTATCATCCACGTGTTCCCACTCAGAAAGCATGGTGACAAAGCCCCAAAGCCTCAGGGATGGCCATTTGTACCCAGACCAGCAAGAGCTCAGGTAGTTGGTTTGTGCACACTCCCTCCCTGCCCTGGAGAGATGCACTTTGCCTGCCCACCCTGTGTATGAATCTCATGCTCCTCCCCTCCCCTCAGCCTCACCCCAAACAACGCCCTCCGGGCCAGACCCTGCCTTCTGGTGCCTGGCACGCAGAGCAGTTGAGTTGCTGAGTTTCACTAAGCGTAACGCCCGCCAGGGAGGACGGAATCACTGCCAACACATTTCCACAGGAGTCCTTGTCCCTTGTCCCTGCTGCGTTGTGACACCTTTGGGGATTTTGTTTTTGTGTGTGTTTTCTATTTTGTTTTCTGTTCATGTTTCTCTCTACCCCCCACCCCAGAGTCAGTTTGTACACACTGCCCATGAAGATCGGACAGGAGGGCTTGATGGCCTTGTGCTAACGGTTATGTTTTGTTTGCTGGTTACTCCGCTGCCTCATGACCTTTTTGTTTTTATAAATATGGCCCCAGAGGCTGCCAGGACCCTTACAAGGTAGCTAGGCTCCCTGCTGCCGCCACCCTTGACTCTCTTAGACCCTTGAGTTCTGAGTAAGTTTTGTTTGCATTCGCCCACGTGACTGCTCTGTTCTCACTCTCCGCCCGTCCTACCGGAAAAGACTGCCTGGCACCTTCTGATTGTACCCTCCAATCTGCCTCTCTAATAAACGTCATCTTTTTTCCTCCGTGTTGTGTATTTTAAATGATTTTTCCCTGTCCAAGAAGTGTTGTGTGCTATGAAAACGTAACTCTTTACTCTAATCATAATGGGGGTTTTCCTAGCCAAGTGCTTTTTAAACAATTCCCTTGCTGGTTTGCTTCCCTCTCCCTTTCCCAGGCCCTCCTTGTTCTCACTCTGCACTGAGGGGCCTAAAAAGTCTGGGTTCTTTCCTGTCTCCTCAAGATGAAGAACTTTCACTGTTTGTGGCCCAGGGAGCCCTGAGGGACCGGTTTCCCTGCTCACAGATTTCCTACGGGATTGCTAGAGCGAGCCAGGCAGAGGGAATCAGGCCAGTGCGCCCTTGTGGAGAGCCGATGAGAGCTCTTGTCTCTCTCCCAACTGAAATTGAGTAAAGATGAGTCAGAGCCCGTCTGCCCACCCTGAAGTCCAGGGTAGCCTGACCAGAGACGAAACCGTGAAAGTTCCTGATCTCAGAATGAGCCTGTGGTAACCAGCTGCTCTAAACAAACCCCCTCTCCCCTCCCTTGCCCTCCCCCACCCCAGGGCGGGGCCCTTTGCAGGAAAGTGCAAAAGGCCCGCCTCTCACGGATGGCCTTCCCCTCTAACGGGAAGTTTCTCTTTGTCTTTTTGTGTTGTAGATTCCTAGAGCCTGCGGCCGGGATCCAGAGCCTGGGGGAAGCCTTCTTCCCAGGAGAAACCACTGGGTCTGCTTGTCTCCACAGGCCTCCAACCATCAGATCCGTGGTCTGGTCTGGTCTGGTCTGGAGCGGAGCGCGTGCGCGCGTGCGCGCGTGCGGCCTCAGCCCGAAACGACGTCCCCACCCCACCGTGCAGTTGCCTGCCTTTTCCATTCTTTCTACAGCATGCGTCTTGTGGCTCAGCTTTTCCCACGGCCCAGCCTGGCCGCCTTTGTGTATGTTGCGGGGAGGAGGGGGCACAAGTCCCCCTCGACCCCACCCTGCACAGGCAAGGGAAGGCCACTGAAGCAGCCCCCGCCCTCCCTCCCCTGGCCCACAGTCCACCCGGCGATGGTCCTGGCCAGTCTTCATTTCACACTGTGCCTTCTGTGACAACTTTGCCACCAGTCTCACGGGGAGACTGACAGAATCTGGATCAGGAGGGCCAGACCGAAGCCAGGTGGACTGCGCGCCCAGCCGGCCTCTCCCTGTCCCCAGCCGAGGTACCTATTCACAATCTCTTCCAGCGCCCGCCAGGATGGCGGGGCCCTTTTCTGGTGACGGGCGCTCTGCCCATTCTGAAGCGGGGCCTGTTGTCTCCCCCGTGTTGAGAACTGCAGGTGGGGGCACTTGGGGAGTGGGTGTCTCACTTCTAAGCCACGTCACACAATTCCTCTTTTGGTGACTTCCAAGATTAGCACCTGAGGATGTCAGCACCTTCGTCACCAAGGCCCCTGTGCCTCTTGTGGGCCTTCACGTCATGCAGTGGCGACAGCTTCTGCCTTGGGTCACGTGTCTCCCGGGCCACCCTGACTTAAGGGAGGCTGCTTTCCGATTTTTGTTTCCTTCCCCGTGGATAGCTAACTACGGTCTTCTGACAGTGGGGCAGCCACAGTTGAGGGAGCTCGGCTGTGAGCAAGAACACCCCCTGCCGCTGAAGGACCATGCTGGGCCTCTGTATCCATCCATCCATCCATCCATCCTTTGTTTGGGTCTTGATACCTAGGTGGCCGCCTGGAGCATTCTTCACCACATCCAAGACAGAGAGGGGCACTGCAGAATCAGATCCTGAGGGTTGGCCTCTGCTGAGGGCCTGCCCGTGTTCAGAGGCTCATTGTGTGTGTGACATGAGGGAACGACTTCCTGTCAGCACACAAGGTTGACCTCACACCACACTTCAGAAGCAGCGAGCACGGTCAGCCCTCAGTGACTAGAAACCACACGTGAGGCCACAGGAGGCAGTTGAGGTGGGAGGCGACAGCTCTGTGTTTCTGAGAGCAAGCCCTGTCTGTCTGGCTCAGAACGGGCGGGGGGTGGGGGGTGGGGGGGTGGTGGTAACACCAGGATGAGCACTGAGAGCCCCCTGCGGTGCTCCCCACCAAGGGAGCAGACTCCTAAGTCAGCAGGAGCTGGGCTGGTTGATGGAATGGAAGTCAGGAAGTTCCTGGAGAGGAGAGGGGGCCTCCTTTCTGCCTCTGCAGACCAGCCGGTGGGGTGCGTGGTTCACCAGGTCCCAGCAGCTCCCTCCGAGGAGGGTTCTTTCCCAAGGAGCCAGCCAGGTAGCTCCAGGAACCTCCGAACAGGGCCAAGTTGAGCTGATGGCTCTGTACAAGGACCGGATGGGTTTGTTTCTTAGCCTGTGTTGAGCGCCTCAGTAGTGCATGTGCATTGCAGCTTTCCTGTCCGGGCGGAGGATCGGTTTAGTTTCTCACAACATTGGGGGGAGGGGGGGCGGGGGGGCGGCGGGTGTGAGCTGCTGGAGCCTGTTCTTCTAAGGTCTGTGAAACCCAATAATAGGCTTGTACTCCACCTGGCTCTTCCTGGCCTTTTTGTTTCTCATTTTTTTTTTTGTCTTCTGTGCCACCCGAGTCTCCCTGAAGAAGAATGAAAAGTGATGCTTTTTAAGTGTCTAACGATTGTGTTTGCTTTTTTTTTTTTTTTTTGCCTGTCTGTGTGGCTATATGGAAAGTGCAATGCTGTAGCAGTCAGCCTTGTTAGAGGAAGTAAGTTATTCTATGCTGATGGTTGAGATACACCCTGTACCCTGGGACTCCTCCTTGAGACCGCTTCTATATTACAGAGCAGTTCACATATCGTAGGAATGGCTTCTTGTTTCCCTCGCACCCCCTGCCGGTCACACCTGCACCAGTGCTGGGATGCCATTGTGTTGTCAGACAGACCTGCTTGGAAAAGAGCCCACCTGCCAGAAAGGGGCTTCACCAACAGCCTGAGAGAGGGGGGCTCCTGCTGGGAACCCTGTTTCCTCTTTAGGAAAAGGAAGAAAAAGAAGGAAAGGGCCCGGGAAGCTGTAAGGAAGCCTTTCCTCTGCGCTTCGTCACTCCCACCTGGGGGCCACACTGGCAGCTGCCTCGCCAGCAGTAGCGCCAAGGCCTCTGCTGCCTTTGGGTAACAACATGGGTCAGGACGGGAGAAGTTGGCTGAGTGTGAGAAAGTTAACCTTGAGGCCACGAGTTCCCCCAGAAATGAGGTGTCCCACGTCTTGTTGGTGCTGCCTCCTGAGCTCGCGTCCTGAGAGCCCTGGTTAGAGAACGGCCCTCGCCAAGTTTTAACATGAAGCACCTTTACATTTTCCATGTGTGCGTGTGTGCGTGTGTGCGTGCTGCACTAATCCTGGACTTTGGAGGCGATCGGTGTTGGAAAGGTCCATGGCCAATGTGAAGGTCCTGGAATTGCCCCTTCCTTGGTCTCTGAAGGTGGAATTAAACCAAATCAAGTGCTTCCATTGGAAGGCTTATATTGACTTGTAAACTATATGTTAATCCTCAAAATGTTAAATAAAAGTATAACTTCTGGCACAATACCACGGGCTTGTGTGATTCCACAAAGAGGGGCAATGTGAGATGGGGAGCAGTGTCCCAGGCTGGGAGGGCGGACTCTGCTCTGCACCAGTACTAATGTGCTGTGCCAACCCAGGGCTGGTCACATCTCGAGGGGCTCAGGACTCCCCAAACCGGCACCAACAAGGAGCCCTGGTGGTACGGCGGTTAAGCACTTGGCTGCAAATGGAAAAGCTGGTAGTTGAGCTCCCCAGCAGCCCCCTGGGTGCAGGCTATGGCAGTGAGTATGGTCTTAGAGACGCTATGCGGGCACTTGGACTGTCCCCTGAGTCAGGACCACCGTGAGGCCAGGGCACATGGCTTTCTTGAAGGATCGCCTCCACTCGCTCAGGGCCCTGTCCGATGTTGGTGACATGACTTTCCATTGACGCTTCCTGAGACAGGGAGGCTTCTTATCTTAGGGAATTGTCAGCAGGCTGCTCATGTGACGTCTCAGGGACCCTGTGGGAGAAAGGAAAGCCAAGCACAGTGATGGTCTTGGTAACTTGGCTGGGCTCTTCATTTGAGAAGGTGCACCTTTCAGTTGTCTCTGGATGTGTGTGCTTGCAGGGGGTGGGGGTGGCTTTGAAAATAGCACCCAGCCTTTGTTATGGGAAGATGCCCGGGCGTCTCTACCTCCTTAAGGGTCCTCAGAGCTGGTGGGAGAAATCGGCGGTTTAGGGAATGCAGCACTGCCAGCTACACCGAGTGGGCAGGGCAGCCCTCGTGCCAATTGTCAAGTAACTTGCTGGGGAGGAAGCGAGGTTGTCAGACGATGCCAGCGAGCTGGCTTCCTTCCACCGACTGACACCAGGGCACTAGTTCCTCGACTGTCCCAGTGCCTGGGAAGATGGTGGACACAGGTTTTGGTGAGTCGGCGCTTTGGGGTAGTGCGGGGCTGGTAGTGCCGGGCTTCAGCATCCGATCCCTGTTGCTGTGACCAAAGAGCTGGCTTTGCCCGTCGCTGTTTCAGCCAAAGACAAGACTAGACCTGTCTTGTTTGAGCAACTCAAGTTTATTCTGGAAGTTCCAGACAGGAGAAAACAGTGCTGCCCCCAAACGGCTTCCAAAAATCCAGCGAAGAGCAAGCAAGTCTTACACCTCAAAACAAAAAGCAGGGTTTGCCATGATCACGGGGAATAATGATCTAGCGCAGGGTGTCAAACTGGTGGCCCCCAAGGTAATTTTTTGTGGTCCACGATGCTCTGAAATAAAATATAAGGAGGGAGTTGTGTGGACGGTATTGCCTTGATCTCCCCTAAGTGCTATTCTTAACAATTTTTTCTATTTTCATTTTGTTCCAGAGCATCGTGGGCCACAAAAAATCACCTTGGGGGCCGCCAGTTTGACACCCCTGGTCTATCTATACCTACATTCTCCGGGGTCTAGCAGACCACCCACCCGAGGCTCCACGCACATGCATTGTGCCGCCCTCCTCTCCTTCTGGGAGACCATCCCGGCTGATCAAGCTCCCGAGGGACTTTCACTGCAAGGAAGTGGGCCAGGCCGGTAACCTTTTGGGTTTCCTGCGAACTAAATCTTACAATATGTTGTCTTTCTACTATTCTGACGACCAGCAGGCGCTTTCACCCCTCCTGGGGAGCAAGCTTTGGTGATCAGCCTGAAAACCCTGGGGCCTGCAATTCTGCTGGGGGCCATGCGGGCCCTCCGTGAGTCGGTCCACTGGTTTGGTGTGTTTCGTCTGAGACTGCTTCAAGGGAGCCAGGTGAACCTTGTCTCCCCTGGAGTCCTGCTTGTCCAGGTTACTGACAAAAGATGAATTTAGGGAGACAATGAACAGCACGTTTTAAAAATGCTTTTATTGGCACATATGTCACAGATCATAGTAAACAGCACTATCTCTCTGGCCTTTGTCTACGTGAGAGAGAGCTGCTTCCCTGCCCCACAGAGCCTGCCAGTGCAGAGGAGGCTGGGTGGTGTCGGCTGAGTTGGGGCACAGGGCTTCACCTCAGGTTCCTCCTGTAGGCAGCTGCTGTGATAAACTGGGACGTTATCTCTGCCGCCATCCCGTGAGGTTGTTGGTTCTAATCCAGGATATGATTTGCACCGCTAAGCTCTGGGCTCCTTGGCGTTGGGAACATGAACCGGTTGCCCTCTGGGTCCTCTTTTCCCAGAGATGTTTCCGTGCCCACCCAGGCTCATCCTGAGCCTCACCCACTGGCAGTGCCATGTGCTTGGAAACAGGGTAGCAGATGACTGGTTTCCAGGTGCCCTGCGAAGCCGCATGCAGGCACGGGTCCCCTTCAGGAGTGCAGGCTTGTCAGCAAGCACGTCAGTGACCAGCAGGTCAGGCTCCTCCAAGCTGCCACAGGCATCCCCATGCCTGGCCCGCCTCCACCTCCTCCACCCCCGCAAGCCCCACCCTGACCCGGGGTGGAGAGGACTCGCCCTAACAGGAGCAGAGTCAGCTCAGCAAGGATGGAACCAAGGTCCCTAACTTAGAGGGCGGCTAGGAATGTGCCTGTGTGTTTCCCATCCCCGTCTCATCATTTAAGGGGAACGTGTGGAGTCCACACGCCAGCCAGGGCATCAACATCCAATGGGGTGGCCTCCAGTGAGGACAGCAGGAGGGGAGCAGATGGTGGAAACCCAAAAGTCACTCTGGTGACACCTTGTGGTGGTGTCCTAACAGAGATCCATGCCCTGACTGCTCTCTGAAGCAACTGGGCCTACGGCCTCCTTCTGGCCTCTGCTGCCCCTTGGGGGGGCAGGGGGGCATAACACTGCCAGCCCCCATGACATGGAGTCAAACGTGCCACACTGTGCCACAGTCCTCCGACAGGGCCTGTTCGAACGTTCCTGTCTATCCCTCGTGGTGCGGTCAATGGCATTTGATGATATCACCTCCCATCAACCAGCACATCGCGGGGCCACAACAGACGCAGCAGAGACTAAGGGAAGCCTTCGTGGGTGGAGCTAAGTTGCAGGCAGGAGGAAGGCTGAGATGAATTCTCCATGGAAGGGGTCCCTGAGCATTCCAGCCAGGACAGGCTTGCATGCTGTGTGCCCACACTGCTGAACTGAGCTGAGCCCCCCACCCTGACCCTGAGTCCTGCCCCCAAACGCACTGGGTTTGGGAGGGTCCATCCATGGGGGTCAAGCAGGACAAGACTGCGGCCCTGGGGCAGCACGTCTAAAATGTTGGGGACTCCCTTTCATAGCTGTTGCAGGGTATGAGTTTCTTCTGAGCAAGAGCTCACCGTGTTAAGAACAATCTGCTCGGTAGGGAAAGCCGGAGTGGAGCACACCGCATACCTTCCCAAAGGCTCTGGCACACGGTTACCCCGGGAGCAGCTTTCTGTGCACTGAATTTCAAATAGAACCAAAACATGAAGGAAACGAGTGCCAGACAAGGCACCCTGGTGGCACAGCGGTTACGCATTGGGCTGCTAACCGCAAGGTCAACAGTTCAAAACTCCCTGCCGCTCTGAGAAAGGCAGGGCTTTCTGCTTCCCTAGAGAGTTACAGTCCCAACCAACGGATCAATCGATCGGTTCATCCATCCATCGATCCCACTGATGGATGCAGAATCTCCTCCCCCACCCCAAGGATGAACAGAAACCAAGGGTGAAGGGACACAGTGGTCAGTGTAAGATGAAAATAATAATAATTTGTAATTTACCAAGGTCACAAGGGGAGAGGGAAAAATGAGCTGATACCAAGGGCTCAAATAGAAAGTAAATGTTTACAAAGTGATGATGGCAACATATATACACGTATGCTTGATACAATTGATGTATGGAATGTTAAAATAGCTTAAAGAGACCAATAAACTGATTTAAGAAATAAAAGAGTGACAGTCTCAGAAATCCCACAGGGGCAGTTCCACCTTGTCCTCACACGGTCACTGGGAGTCAGCAGCGAGCACGAGGCAGGAGGAGACCAATATGTGCACCTTAGATGGCCATTTACAGATTTTTAAAATTTGTATTATTTTTATTTACTTACTTATTTATTCATAAGCTTTTAGGTTCCAGTTGATGCTCACCAAAGCCAGATGTAGACCTTGTGGTCTTGGTGGACAGTGCAATGCCAACTGACTGCTCTGTCCCCCAAGTCCAGGGCCTGAAACCCTCAGGCCCAGCAACTCCTTCTCTCAAGTGTTTGTTGAAGGCCAGACATTTGCATAACTGCATGCTCGACTATATTCAGAGCATAGTTGTAGCACGGATAGATGCACAAGGACACAGTCCCCATCAGCCCCAAGCCAGATGATGTCCTGCTGACTGCTCCGAAAAGGATTACAATGGAAGGTCCTGGAGAGAGTGGGAGAACTCAGACTAATGAAAAGGGCCCGCCGACTGATTTAATCGGGATGAGTGGAAACCCGGGACTAGGGCCTCCAGACATCCTCCCGGCCTAGAGCCCGCTCAGCCCCCTGGCTCAGCTTTCAGCCAAACGCTTGGCAGGCCTGTAAGGCCCACAGCCACGGGGAGGAGGCGTGCACTCGGACCAGCCGCTCCAGCAGATCCAAAGGGCAGCGTTAGCCCAGGAGGGAAGTTCCGCAGGCAGGCAGGCAGGCAGGCAGGGCTCCTCTGTAAGGCACTGCCCACTGCCATCACGTGGATGTAGGCCAACTCACAGCGACCCTACCTACAGTCAGGGCAGGGCTCCCATTGCAGGTTTCAGAGACCGTAACTCTACAGGAGTAGAAAGCCTATCTTTCTCCCAAGGAGCAGCTGGTGGTTTTGAACCACTGAATCTGCAGTTAGCAGCTACCCCCCCACCCCCACCCCCTTTCAGGCTCCCCCTGTAAAGCACTAGCAGGTCCAAAGGCAGCAGTTCCCAGAGATGCCCCCACGGCCACCCTCGCCTCAGCAGAGGATCTCACTGGACCCCCAGCTCCCATCCATGCCCAGACCTGAGGGAAGGCAACACCCTGCTTGGCAGCACCCCCTTAGAGGCCTCTAGAGCACCCGAGTCCGCCAGTGCCTGGCTGGAACCAGCCTGTGGGGTGCATCGATCGGCCTATCCACTGACCACATGTGTGTGGCTCCACTTCTTGGGGGCCGGGGCTGCGCTGCTTCCGGAAAGGAAACGCACAGAGGGTGTTTCCAGCGGCTCAGCTCACTGCTGCCGGCGTCCAGAGGGGACACCCTTGCTGGGGCAGTCATGTGTCACATGCGCTAACAGGCAGAGACAAGGACCACGAGGACACCACGGGTATGGGGACCGGCTATGTATTTAATTATGACATTCTGGACACAAACCAGACCGCTCGGATGGGGCCGAGCATGCACGCAAGGCCTCGGAACGGCAGTGCGACCAGACTGCGGCAAAAGACAGGGCGTCCTTCCCCCAGTGGCTGCCTGTGCTCAGGGCGCTGGGCCCCTTCAGGAAGAGGAGCCCCGGGAAACCCACAGAACAGAGGTGGGGCCGAGGGAAGTGTGGCAAGAGGGGTTGGGGCCCTGCCTAGACCTGCCTGCTGGATTCCCGTGGACACCCCGGAGATGAAGACCATAGCAGTTTAGGGGTTTTGCAGGAAGCACCCCTTTCTCTACTCCCTATTTGCTCTGAGCCTGATGGGGAGAGCCCCTCCCCCATGCTGTTCTCACTCAGGAAACAACCATGCCACCAGAAACACGGCTCCGCTCTGGAGTGCTCAGTCAGTCCTAGCACCCAGCAGTGGCCTGGCTCAGCAGCCAGACACCCACTAGTGCGAGCAGCTGGGTGCCGCCCCCCGGGTGAGGGCTCCCACAGCTCCACCCACAGTGCTGGGGTGGGGGAGGGGAAGCTGCACTGAACTGACAGCAGAACGAGGCTTGCTGGGGAACGGGGGAGGGGCGGGCGCTCACAGCAGCAATGTCCCAGAATGGAGGCACACTGGGCAGGCAGGTGAAGGGTGCACCAGCTGCCTCCAGAATTGTTTTCTCTTGTCAAACACCTCCTCACCTCGAGTCACCATCACGAGAGTGTGTCCTGTCCCAGCCCAGAGCAGGGGGAAGCAGACCACCGGGCAATGGGTGTCAGCACCCCCCGCCCGAGCTCGGGTGTCTGGAAGCAAGCAGCAGCAGCAGCACCCCAGCCTCTGTCCAGGCTGCAGTCTCTGACTGACATAGGGCGACCTGAGGCCCCAGCCCTGAGGGCCACAGGTCTAGGGCTCGGGGACAAGAGCCAAGCCCGAGCGAGCCAGAGGGCAGGTGTGGGGGCTCAGCGATGACAGTAACTCGTCTGTCCACGGCGAGACGAAGGCCCCAGACCACGTCACACTCTCCGTCGTTTAAAGAAGCCTGGCGCTCATATAGTTCCCCGTGGCAGCTCTATGCCCTGTGGCAGACCCACCTCTCGGCCTCTGTGCACCGCTGGGCCGGCATGGCAGCCCCGCCTCTGGGGTGCCTGGCACCCCGCAGGGGAGGGCACAGAGCCCACACTGGGCTCCCTGGAGTGCCCTCGTGGAGGGTGTGATTGAGAACGAGCTCTTCCAGCACTTGGAGGGACACAGAGGGTCTCTGGAGAGGGACGGGGCCCGAGAGGACCCTGGAGTCTCAGATTGGCCCACCAATCACACAGCCCGAGTCTCGGCTTCGATTTTTTGCTCCCCGTGTAAGCTCTCCGGGTCTGGGAGCTGGGCCACGCTCTGTCGAATGGCGATCTCGGGGCCGCCTCCGTACAGGGCATGCAGGTAGCTCCAGGTCTCCTCAGAAATCTGCCCGTAGTCGGCGCCTGCAGCGACAAGGGGCACAAGCTGGACTTGACAGAGAAACCCTCCTCCTCCCCGGGAGGCGGGCTTTACATCAAGGGCAGGGGCGGGGCTGGGTGGAGGGCCTCAGCCCAACTCAGAGACAGGCTGCAGGGGCGGGAGGACTGGACCGGGAGGCGGTGGACGGCCAGGCCTTGGGCGCTGGACTCACCATGCTTGAGCTGGAGGTGGCCGCTTCCCTTGGTCTGCACGATCCTGCTGTTGTCGATGGGCCCTGGCGGCTCTGGGGCAGACGGGTTCCGGTTCAGCGCCTCCAGGCCCTCCCAGCCATGGGCAATCCCCACCCACCCACCGCAGTCCCACCCTCTGCTTCAGCCCTCCACCCGCCACAGGCCACAGAGCCATCGTGGGGGTGGGGGGAATGGAACTCCAGCACCCGTGGTCCCAGAGCTAGATAATCAGCACCAAGTCCATGACATAGGATGTGCCAGGGGCAAGGACTTCTCATCTACCTACCACAAGTCAGAGCCAGCAAGAACTGGGGGCATCCTGCTACCCACCAGAGGGACTTTCTAGAACTGATGGACAGTACCCTCAACTCAGATGGCAGGACCCTTGCCCACCCACCCACCCCCACGTGTGCCTGGCCCTGTGCTGAGCAGAGCCTGGGTCGCCTCCTGTCCACCTCGGCAGCCGCATGGTTGGTGGAGGTACATTCACGGAGACAGACGGGCAGGATGGCATGGGGCCACAGCTCCTGCCCACCTGCTCCAATGCCACATTGGACTGCACGGAGCCCCACTAGGGGCCACTGGCTGTGCTGTGTGGCACCTTGGGCGGCGGCAGCGAGCACGCTTCCTTCCCTGCACTGGCTGGTGCTTATGTAGTCAGTGACAGGCGGGTGTCTGCGGGACCCGAGAATGTCCCTCGTGACGCTGCCCGTCTCCTCACTGGAACCTGAGGGCCACGGGCCACGATGCCCAGGCCCTTCTCCTGAATCTGACGCGGCCTCCTCCAAGGGGAGGGGAGGAGAGCAGCCTCCTGGCCCCCACTGAGCAGGGGGCGGGGTGACAAGAGGGTGGGGCCAGAATAGGCCCCTGTGCTAGGGCAGCCGGCCTGAAAGGTTCTCACGTGGTGGGGTGGGCCCAGAGTCCTGTGAGGCAGCATCCACCCCCACCCCCAGAGGCCACTCCCGGAAGAGCAGCCTGGAGTCCCTCCTGGACGGTGAGGTGGAGTGGGTGTCAGGCCTGGTGCCAGGGCCCTGGCTCTACTCACCGCTGCCCTTGCCCTTAACAAAGGCCTCCCACTCGCGGAACCAGTGCATGCTGATGCAGTAGATGATGCCCGGAGACTCCTCGGCCTGGAAGGCCTTGTTCAGCTGGGTGTGAGGAGAGTGGGGCAGGGGAGGTCAGTGCCCCATCCCCGTCCCGGACTTCCTGTCACATCCTCACTCCCTGCTCCCAGGAAAGTGCTGGGGGCTCCCAGTGCACAGATGCCCAGCCCAGGGCTGTGAGTGCCCTCGGGCCCACCCCCGTGACGCTGGCCACCACTGTCCTCATGCAGTCCCCAGCCCCCTCGGGCCCACGATGCACATGAAGGCTCTCCCCAGTCACCGCCAGCACCCACTCACACCCACGAGTCTTCCGACAGCACCACTCGCCAAAGGCCATGGAGCCTGGTGCCCCGTGCCCAACCTCTGCCCTGCTGTCTCAGCAGCGCCTCGGGGAGGGAGGACGCACCCTTTCTGAGGGGGTCACCGCCAGGCCTTTCTGCCACTTGCTTTCCCTGAGCGCCCTCAGCCACAGGCAGCCTGTCCCATGCCGGGAGATCGCGATGCTGTCACCTGCCTCTAGCATCCAGGGACGGGTGAGGCACCCTCCTCCCCACAGGACAATCCCAATGCACAAGGAGCCAGTCCCTTGGCAGCACCAGCCCCACGTGGCAGCACCACGTGACGGAAAAGCACTGGTTACCAAAACCAACAAGCAAACCCTTGGCTGCCGACTGCTGGGTCGGATCTGACCCATCAGGACCTTCTCCAGGCTCTGGGGTGGTCCTTCCTCTCAGAGAGCGGCTGGTGGGCTCGAACCCGCGGTCACGTGTTTCAGAGTGCAAGCTAGCACAGGGCAGTCCTCCACACACAGTGCTCTCTGACTCAGCCCAACACTGAAGGCCAGGCCAGGAGACGGCCACTCTGCTCTTCCCAGCAGATGGCTGCGCATACGGCAGTGGTGTGCCACCCCCACCCCCGGTCAGCGGTCCCCGCGCCCCAGCGTGTGCGCACCTTGATGAAGGTATCGATCTCAGTCCTCCTGCGCTTGGCCAGAGCTTCGAGCTCCACCTGGCAGACGGAGCACACATACAGATGGTTCACAGCGGGGCCGCCCCCGAACCTGCACGGGGATGGGGAGGGACAGGAACCCTGAGGGCCAGTCCTTGGCGGGGGAGGCTGCCAGCCTGCCAGGCACAACCCTTGCCTGTGGGGCAGGGCGCGCAGACACCTCTTCAGTGGCCCCAGGAGGCTCCCCTTGGCAGGCTCTTCCTCTAGGCCCTCGCACCCTGGGGAGACCGAGCACCATGGAGCTGGGCACACACGCCTGCGGGCAACGGAGGGGTCCGTTCCTGGCGGCCTGGCTGGGCAGGGGCTGGGGCTGTGGTGTCTGCAGGTGGTTGGCGAGTGTGTGACCCCAGCTGGAGGGCACCCCCACAGCATCTGCAAAGCACCTTTCTGTGGTCCCCGCTGCCCACTAGCAACAGGGCAGGAAAGAAAGCCTGTGCCAGACGGGCACCTCAGCATCCAGCATCGTGAGGGCATGGCAGTCAGGCAGAGGGCCGACCAGAACGGCTCAGCCTCTTCCCCAACTAATGCCTGAGCCCTGACCGGAGAGTGACGGGAGGCCACATGCTCTTGGCCTTGACTGGGCCGATCCCGACATTCATAGGCAGAGTGGCAGCCCGAAGCCTAACTAACACAGGCAGGCGCAGGAGTGAGGGCGGAAAGGAGAAGCTAGAAAGACGGAGGCCCCCCTGCACCCCCCAACCCCCCCAAGACTGCCAGCAAGACCAGCCAGTCCAGTGCTCTTGCTCCACCTGCTCGACTCCCTGTCCCGGTGATGTCTGGTGCTTCTGGAAAGCCCAGAGGGAAGAGCAGAGGGACAGAGCCAGCCCAGGCCAGCCCGGGCTCCTCTGCGGCCCAGCTGAGCCCCCGCCAGTGCGTGCGCCTCACCTGCTGTAGAGGTGCTCCCACACGTTCTGGGGCAGGATCACCACCAGGTCATCGATGTAGTGGTATTTGTTGGGCGGGATGCCTGTGAAGGAGGCGGATGGACAGACAGACGGATGGAGGGAAGGAGGGCGGCTGGGGTTGCAGTGGGCCCCCGCCTGCCCCCCGCCCGCCGGCGGCTCACCTCCGTGGGCGCAGAGGAAGGTGTGGTTGGTGATGGGCCCCGGCTCTGCGAAGGTGTTGAACTTGTTGAGCCACTCCCGGGACACGTAGAACCGCAGCAGGCTGGGCTCCCTCGCGGCGGCCAGAGACACCACCTGCTGCCGCTCCCGCACGGCCACCTCACTGCTCTTCCTGGGGGGGTGGGGGGGAGACAGCCGCAGCCCTGACCCTGCCTGCCCCACCCAGGCTGAGGCCCGGGTCTGGCCACTGTCATCTCCAGGACCACTGCAGGGCCTGTGCTGGGCTCCCTCCCCAGGGCAGTGGAGGCCTGTCCTGTGAGCGCCCGGCCGCCAGCTCAGCACCCTCCTGGGCGCCCGCGCCCACCTGTAGAAGAGCACGTAGGCCTCTGTGCTCTGCACCACCGTCTCGTGCACCTCGGTGACGTACTGGTCGTCAAACTCGTACCACTGCCCGTTGATGACGTTCTGACAGTACGCAATGTAGTGCCCACCTGAGGTGGAGAGAGGCAGGCGGGCTGCAGGGCCCCGCCCGGGCGCTGGGAGGGGTGGAGATAGGGGTGGGGACAGGGGGTATTGGGTGGGGGGCCTGGGCCCGGGGGCAGCCAGACTCACTGCCTACGGTGCCGTGGTGACAGATGACGGAGAGGAGGTCGTAGGTGGTGATCTGGGACGTGCACTCCTTGGCGAGGAAGGGGCGCAGGTCGAGGCCTTCCAGGGGGAAGGAGACGTGGTTGTTGATTTTGAAGGAGTACATCACCTCGTGCCGAAAGCGCTTCAGGTGAATGCAGAGGATCTGGGGACACGGGAAGCCACAGGTCACCAGGGCGGGCGAGGGCCCTCACCAAGGCTGGCCACACCTGCTGAGCCCCATCAGGAACGCCCTTTGCCATGCTCCCTCCACAGTGACTCTGGCACACAGCCACCACCTGTTCAGGGCTCACTGACACGCCCTCCCCCAGCAAGCCTCCCCTGGAAGCCCCAGCCCAGCCAAGTCTGCCCCTGCCCCCAACTCTGCTACTGACTGACCGGGCCCGCATCTGCCTTACTGGGTGCTCAGTGACCCCATGCCTGCTCACAAACAGGCAGAATGGCACGGGAGCTGAGGGTATACACAGAGAGGACCCCCAGCCGAGCCTGCAGACTCTCCCCAGGCCGCAGAACCCCCGGCTGCCCCTGAGTGGAGTAGGGGGCTGTTGCTGACAGCGAAGCCCTAAGAAGCTGTTGGGAGGGCGGGGCACTCACCTCAGGCAGCCGCAGCACTTTGCAGTACTTCACCCCATTCCGCAGCCTGTGGGGAGCCAGCAGGGCAGTGAGCGGCTAGGCACCCTGTGAGCACCGCCCCCCCACCATGGCAGGCCAGGACCCCCATTAGGGGTGCCGAGGGGCACAGGAGGCCCGAGGCTGGGGCGGGAGGTGGTGGCACACACTCACTTTCTACAGCGCTCGCAGCTGTACATGTTGTCGCCTGGGGCCGGAAACCAAAGGGAGCCAAGTTAGAGAGGCTGCAAACAGTGGCCGTGCCTAAGGCACAGGACAGAGCAGGGCCAAGGCAGGCGAGCCTCCGGCTGCACGCCTCACAGCGGCCGAGCCCACACCCCAAGAAATCGGAGTGTGTGGCCCAGAAACACCCCCAGCTTGTCGGAGCACCGCCGCCAGGAACAGGAGGTGTCGGAGCAGGTGGAAGTCAGTCCAGAGACAGGACCCTGACTCACAGATCCTAGGGGTGCAGGCAGGGAGGATGCGGGGGAGAGCGGGGAGCCAGTGATGCTGGATACGAGGATCGGGAAAATGACCTGAAACTGGTGGTGGCAAGGGTCACACAACTCTTTTCAACGTGTCTGCCACACTGAGTTGTGAATAAAGCATTTACAAGCTGAAACCAAAAGGGCGGGAGAGCCGTGGGGAAAGAAAGCAGCAGCACCGATCTCGCGATCTTCCGTGCACAAGGCGCTCGCCCCAAGGGGACGAGCCGCAAGCACCCGGAGCAAGCAGGGAAGCTGAGGAATGGGGCGCTTCAACAGAAGGCCTGCAGTCTAGGTGAACAGGCCATGTCTCCCTGGTCCGCAGAGAGGCACGAGGGAAGGCGAGCTATCATTTTGCCCGTTCCGTGGCAAGGCGGGGCGGGCAGGGGAGCCCGCCCTGCAGCCCGGAGGCCTCCCATGTTTACCGTAAAGGCAGAATCTGCCCGGCGTGTGCATTAACACGTGTACCACCCACCTCGCAGGGCCATTTCCCAGAGGCAGGCACGTGTGTGTGCATGAGGAGGGCCCCCAGCCAGCCCAGACCACTCACCCTTCAGCTCATCAGCAGCAAAAAAGGCAGCGAGGCAGTCCTCTAGGGTGACGACAGGACCCCAGAACCAGCTGGGGGTACAGGACACCACGATCCTGCAGAGACAGCCAGGGGCTGGCACCGTTGCTCCCAGATCCTTTGCGGAAGGCTGGGGAGTCCCAGATTTGCTCCGGGCCAGAGCCCCCGCAGGAACCCCAGGAGCCAGAGAGGCAGCAGTGGAAGGGGCAGCTGAGTTTCCCCAGGCTGGCTGTCCTCAGTCCACATCTGTGAGGATCCATGGCCACAGTACCCCTGACGTCACGCAGGTAAAGCCCCCTCACAGCTCACGCAGCTGCCTCTCAGTCCCTCTCCCGGATCTTTTGGCCTCCAGCTGCATGGGCCCACCCTGGGCTCTGAAACAGGGCATTCACACAACCCGTGTGGCCTGGGAGTGCCAGCACCCGCACCCCCCGCCTCGCCACCTTAACGCATCCTTCAGCCTCCAGCACCCTTCCAGAACCTGAAGGTCTGTCTCCTGCCCAAACTGCGGGTGTCATGCGGGTGTCAGGCCAGGGCCCAGCACGGACACCAGCAGGGCGTACCGTCGGATATACTCCATGATGAAGGCAAGCCAGCCCTGGGCAGCGTAGCTGTCCCCGCAGGTGCCTGGCTTGGCCGGCACGTTCTGGTAGATGGCCGAGTGCAGCTTGGCCAGGTCCTCCTTGCCAGGAATGGGCAGCGACAGGTCCTGGAAGGTCTCCTCTGTGGTGGACACCTACGAGGTGGAAAGTCGGCTGGCTCTCCACTTCGGTGCCCCAACTGGACGGCACCTGCGCCACAAATTCCAGCCACCAGATGGCAGCGTGGGGAAGAAGGCCAAGATGCAGAGCCCAACAAGCAGATGGGGAGCAAGCACACAGTGGAGGGGGCTCTCCTGTCACCCCGGCTCCCCAGCGTGCGGACCTGCGGTTGTCAGCAGCCCTTACCCGGTCACAGGTGAGGCACTGCACGTGGCTGAGGACAGAGCCGTCGAAGATGTCCGAGATGACGCTGCGATAACTCGGCTCCTTCCGCCTCCGGCTGCCAGTGGGCAGGACCTGGGCTGGGGGCACAGCACGGGGCCAGTCTAACCTCCACCTGTTGGTCTGGGGTGAGGGGCAGGCACTGGGGCGTCCTTTGCCAGGATACAGGGTCAATTCTTTCTGAGGTAGGTCACTGTGGTGGCCTCAGGGTGACACCTGTAAAATGGCCCCCACCCCGCCCAGGTCCTTGTGGAGCTGTGAGCATGCAGAGAGGCCACGTGAGATGTCCCAGGCCAGCCTCTGGCGCCAGGGCCCGACAGGGGCTGTGGGCGCTATAGGCACTCCCCGCCCAGAGCTCCCGTGCAGGTCCCGAACTGTGGGCCCTCTGCCCCTCCCCGCCCCTCCCCTCCCCTTCGAACCTTTCTTGAGCACATAGGCCGGCCCCATCCTCGCAGGACTAGCACGAGGAGGGGTGCTAGACAGCTTGTGGACGGGACTGCAGGGGCGGGAGGAGCTGCGCATGTGGGCGTCATTGTCAGGCTCTGGGGACAGAAAGGTGCTGTGCTGAGATCAGGGCAGCCAGCCCGGCCAGGGTCCCCATGCCAAGCCAAGGGCACGCCAGCAACTTTGAATGGGGCTTGTGTGCCCCCTGTCTCTGTGCGCCCCCTGCCCCAGTGCACACTTCCCATCGGGCTCCACCGCTGGCTCTGGGTACGCCGGGTGCAGTAGTCCAGTCCCCTGCCTGGGGTGGCTGGGAAGACTGGGCTGGGGGTGCTGGGCGTGGTGGTGCCTGGCGCACAGCAGGGGCTTCCTCCCAGCAACCCTGGGCAGCCTCTAGCTGGCAGATACCTGGTGTCCGGCAGGGGCTGGCCGAGCGGGGCGATGGCTGAGTCTCCCCGGGCTGGCTGTCCAAGGGGGCCATGGCGGTGTCCACGTCAGCGTCCTCGTCCACTTGCTCAGAGCTCGTGCGCTGCCGGCCCCAGGAGCGCTTGCGCTCCTTCATCCGCTCCTTCTCGGAGATGGCACGGCCCACCTCTTCCGGGCCCAGCAGCTCCGCCTCGGCCTGTGAGCTGCCCCTGCTGCCACGACCCTGCCCGTCACCCTCCCCCCGGTCACTGCTTGAGTCGCAGGACAGGAACTCGTCCTCTGATGGGCTCCGGTCACCCTCCCGCTTCTCGTCCGTGTCGCTGGAGTCAGAGTCCCGCGCGTCTGTCACCGCCACGCCCTCCGGCTCCTTGAGCTCCTCGTGCAGCTGGTCCATCAGGCAGCGCAGGAACTCCTGGGTGTCCTGGAAACAGGCTGCCTCAGCACGGGGGCCGGCCACTGCACCCTGCCGGGGCAGTCTCCCCATGCCTCACTCACACGCTCCGGGGAGCCCCGTCCTGACCCGTTTACCGAGAGCGCACCAGCTGTAGCCCAGCAGAGCCCACATCCCAACGACCGCACAGGTCATACACACGGCCATTACAATTGCATGTAGAGGGCACGTGCCTCCCGACTGCCAACACGCACCTGCGCCTCACAGTCAGCACCCTGGACATGAGGGGTCGTGCCCAGGGAGGGCACAGCTGGGTTCCACACCAGCTCTCCCAAGCAAGGTGAGCCTCCCTCCCTGCCAATCCCTCCTCCCTCTCTCCGGCCTCCACCAGCACCAAGCCTTGTCTGCGGCCTGTGTGTGTCCCTAGGGCCCTCAAGGCACTGAAGGGCTCACAAGCTGGAGGGGATGGGCTGGAGCCCAGCTTCCTGCACACCTGTCACCACTGGAGACACTGCCACCTACAGGCTGGCTGGGTGCTGCGCAAGTCATGGCTGTGCCCACCAAATCCTGGCTCCTCCGACAAACCTCCAGACAGGCTGCCCAGGGGGCGGGGAGCACGGGGCTGGACTGTTGGCGGGTGTTGGCTTGGGTGACATGCAGGATTGGCGGGGTGGGGGTAGACTACTGGACGGCTGGATTAGTGGTTTGAACTACTGAATGCACCATGGGTGATCTGAAATGTAAACTCCATCTAATTTATAATAAAAAAATTATAATTAAAAAGGGGAGAAAAAAAAAAACATCCTGCCACTGAGCCCTGCCCTGCACTGTGCCACCAGGAGGTGCTCTGAAAGGTGGGCAGGTGAGGGCTGGCAGATAGCGAGGCGAGGCCTAGTGGGGGTGCTGGGCCCCAGAAGAACCCTGCTCTGACCCTGATGTCAGAAGCAGCCCCCAGACCAACTAACTCCAAGGCCCTGTGAGGCCAGGGTCCTGCAGCAGCCAGATGCAGCCAAGTGCCCACCAGTCTGCAGGCCCCACTCGTTCCTCTGTAGCAGAGAGAGGGGCACCCTCTGGAAGTCAGACGCCAGGAAAAGACATTAACCACTTGCTCATCTCGGTCGGGAGATGGGGGGATAAGCGGTGGGGGCGTGTCAGGCTCTCTTTCGCGGTCTCCCTTCTAAGAGCCACATCACGTGGCCACTGCCAGACCCTCAGACAGTGTGGTCTGGCCAGGACGGGGTCTCTGCTTCAGCCAGACCTGCTCCCAAGAGGAAGGGAGTCCAGCAGCCAGCTGGGATGTCCCCTCTCAGTGTCCTCCCCACGTGGCCCAGCGTCTGCAGGGGGCCTTGCACACAGAGTGAAGGCGGGCTATGGCACATCCCAGCCACAATGCGCTGGGTGACCTGGGCAAACAGCCGGCCCTCGCCGAGCCGCTCTCCAGACTAAAACGTGGGGTGAGCACCATGCCCACTTCATATCACACGGCATGTGCACAGCGCGGTGACAGGCCCGCCACCATCCTGGATGTCTCGCTTCCCAGCAGGTGGTTGCGGCAGTGTTCAGTGTCACAGACAGACCAGCAAGACCCAAATGAGGGCATGGGGGTGGGGGGAGAATGCTTGGGAGGGATGGGGAGGGGGCAGTGGAGAGGGCCACAGACACCCCTGCTCTACCTCTGACCCCACGTTCAATCGTCAGAAGAGACCACCAGGCAAGCCCAGCTGCAGCCTGCATCCCACCAGTGAACCCCAGCCGGGTACAGTCTGGGGCAGGGACCTGTGCCAAGGCAAAGACCTGGATGCCTTCTGCTTCATATTGGTGCCAGGACTTCATGAAACAGAAAGATGTGCTTGCTTTCAAAGGGTTCTCTGGATTTAAAAAATAATAAGAATGAAATA